CATATGATTTAATATTCCTGTTGGATTTAGCAACTTTTAAACTTCAGAAGTTTTCGCTTTTTGTAAGTGTTTATTTTTATAGTTTGATATAAATTGAATAATATTAATAATGATAATTTTATAATGTAGGAGCAGAATCTAAATATTGAACAAGTGAAATTCAAATTCTCAAAAAATTTAATTATTATAAAAGTTGCTGATGCGCATTACATTTATTCCAATAACAGAGACCACATAAATTTTCCAATTGGAAGGATTGTAGATACTGGTATGAATTTCTATAAATGTATTATTAAACTTCTGATTATCAATTAATTTATTTTGCTCATTAGATTGTCAGGAATTTGAATTCGTCGGCAATAATGATGAATTCATGATTACATTATCAAATAATAAAATCATTAATATTTATTTTTGGAAATCAAACCTAAAAGGTTCCATTAGTTTCAATAAATTAGTAGAATTTGAAGATCTTGATAAAAGTGTTCATATCGAATTCAAGGATCAAAGGGTTTTTGTAGTATCACCTGAAAAGCTTCATATTTTTAATCTAACAAAGCATGATTGGAGAAATTCCATATTTAAAGATCATATGATTAATTCTAATGATAACAATGATGAGAATATATTAACGGATATAAATGAAAAATATTCTTCAATTAAAGATAAAATGGAAGTGGTTGATGAGTATGTAAAAGACAAAATCCCTGAGAACATTAAAAAGACTCTAAGTGATGTTATATTAAAACTTTATAATGATAATCGCGAATTAAATTCTTTAGACATTAAATTTCTTGCTGATCCATCAGAAAATAAATCGAAAAAGCAATTGATTAATTATATATTAAATACAAAATATTATTTCGTAATAAATGGAGAAATATTATTAAATCGGCGATCAAACAAAATAATTTATATTTAATGGGTGGTATTTTTAACAAAACTATTGAATTTTTTAGAGAGAATCCAAGAAGCAATACTTGTATATTATCAGTAATATGCAATAATATTCCATATTTAAATGACAAATATTATGAGTTTATTTTGAAGTATTATAATGAAGTGGATTTAATTGTAGACCCGTTAAATAAAGAGATGATTTATGAAAATTTTGACCATCATTATTCTTTCTGTAAGCAATTAAAAATCATAAAACCTTCTATACCTTATTTTTATATATTTTTTAAAGAATACAAAGTAATAATTCAGTTTTGGATTATACCTATTCCTCTAATATTTTATAATTTT